GTCCCGCAGGGGCGTCGCGATGAGTAGGAGCGACGTGCGGCTCGGCAGGGCGGCGCGCGGGTCGCAGGGGCAGCGCCCACGGGCTACAGGGGCTACGCGTGGCTCGGGAGGGCGGCGCGTGGGCTGCAGAGGCAGCGCCCACGAACTGCAGGGGCGACATGCGGATCGGCAGGGCGGCACGCGGGCTGCAGAGGCAGCGCTAACGGGCTGCAGGGGCAGGCATGGCTGCAGGGGCAGTACGGTCGCAGAGGCAGCACGCGGGTTGCAAGGGCAGTGCGGCTGCAGGGGCAGCTTAAAAAAAAAAAAAAAAAAAGTTAGGGTAGGGCGGAACGTTTGGTGGGCCCTAGGAACGATTCTGCTCTAATACCATGTGAGAATCAGAACGAGGAATGACTAGAAGCAGAGCAGTACAAGGTTTGTATAGGCAAAACCTAACAATACTGTACCCCACAAGGAGTGCCCCACTACAACCTACAACATAGTTCCAACAACATTCGCCTGGAGCGGATGGGGGGAAGAAGCGAGCGCCTCCAATGAAGGGGGGTGGGGAAATGCTGGCGGATAGGGCACGAGCGGCACTCGCGGTGATACTGGCGGATGGGGAGCACTCACCGGCGGCAACACCGGCGGATGTTGTGCTGCATCTGGCGGCGAGACGAGCGGCTGGGGAGTTTTCCGTGAGGAACAAAGGGGGGGAGGAGAAGAAATTGAGGGGGAAATTGAGGCCAAACCTCCTGTTGTTCCTCTTGGTCGACCTCCGCGCCGCCCTGCACCCGCACTGCCCCCACCTGACATCCCGCCAGGAAGTGACCCTTGGGACACCATCGACTGGGGGAACGAGCAATCAACCCCGCGATGCACCGTCTACGGGCCTGCCCCCGAGCCGCGCGAACCCACCTTCTTCCCGGGAACCATCCCTGGAACCAATATTCCCCTTTCCATTATCCTTGACACGGAATTCCTTGCGCTAATGTTAACAACGGCAAACGGAGAAGAAGAAGCTGAAGAAGCAGCGGCGGCACCTGCTCAAGCACCTGACGAGGATCCCGCAGAAGCACTCGCGCGCTACATGCGCACCTCCGGATTCTGCGCTGACGATGCCATCAAGGACCAGTGCCTAGGTCACCCCTCGCGCGCGACTCTGAAGAACTGCATTGAGGCCGGCGTATTCGCGCCTGGCGCACTCCTGCGCCCTGATGGCACCGAAGTACAGGGCACGGCACATCCACGCAACTGCACCGTCTGCCCCGAAGCCGCACTGAGCCACCAGCCATTCCCCCTACTAGAGCCCGGAACCAACCGCTACACCAAACTGGAGAAGGTCTACAGCGACTTTCTCAACGTGGGACACTGCGGCATCAGCGACGAACTCTACACGCTCACCTTCATCGACGCCGGAACGCGCTACGTGTGGGTCGAACTGTAAACGCGGAAGCACGCAGCAGAGCATACGAGGCGTTTCGCCTCTGGCTGGCACACGCGCAGCAGCAGTCTGGGGAGAAGTTAAAGATCTGGCAGTCTGACGGCGCAGCAGAGTTCAGGGCAAGGAGCTGCAGGATTACCTCACGCAGAAGGGGATCGAACACCACATCTCTCTCCCCTACACGCATCAGTAGCAGAACGTGGCTACGCGTACTAACCACACGCTCATGACGAAGGTGCGCGCGCTCGTGAAGCAGTCGAAGCTTCCGCGGATTTACTGGACGTACGCGATGCACCATGCCGTGCGGGTGCACAACCTGTTGTCAACCACTGCAATCACTGGTAACCTATCCCCTCACGTGAAGTGGACGGGGACCAAGGGCGACACCTCCATGGTCTGCGTGTGGGGGTGCATGGTGCAGTACCCGCTGCCGACATCAACCATCGGGAAATTTGCAAGCCGCGCGCGCTGGGGAATCCACCTCGGCATCAGCCACGAGCACAAGGCATGGCTCATCCTGGACCTCTTGAGTCAGAAAATCAAGAACGCGCGCGATGTGTTATTCTACGAGCAGCTCTACCTTCGACAATTCCGTGAGGACGAGCAGGCGAACGCGAATCGCGTCTACGCCAGCGACGGCCACAGCTATGCCTCACCTGAGGACGAAGCCGCAGCAGCAATTCTAGAGTAGGACCCCAGAGGCGAGTTCACGAGAGGTGATTGCAACAACAACGACGATGTCAACAACAACGACGATTCCCCTGGAGGAGGAACAGGAGGCGAAAGCAGAACCAGAGGCGGAGGCGGGGGAGGCGCAGCACCACCAGCACCGCCTGAGCTTGAGAGCGAAGACGACGACGTGCATAAAGTCACCCCACAGCACCGCCACGACAGCACCATCACCGGACTCCAACTCCTCGGGCTCCACACTGCCACCTCAACGGTGCTACGTTTCATTGTGCCGAAAAACCCACGTCAAGCACTCACGGGACCTTACAGCAAGGAGTGGCGGGAAGCAATGGATGCGGAAATCAAGGCACTTGCATCCTGTGACACCTAGGTGCTCATCGATCGAGCGACGATCAAGGGGAGGAGGATTCTGTTTAGGAAATAGGTCTTCCGCGTGAAGACCGCAGCTGACGGCACGATCAAGCGGTTTAAGGCGCGCTTGGTAGTGCGCGGCTACGACCAGAGGCACGGGATTGACTTTGATCAAACGTTTGCGCTGGTGAGCCGTCATACCTCCGTCAGAATTCTCCTCGCCGTCGCTGCTGTACGGCATCTGCCGCTCCGACAAATCGACGTGAAGAATGCGTTCCTGTATGCATTAGTGGATGCTGTGATCTACGTGGAGCAGCCACACACATATGGCGAAGGGGATTCGCGCGTTTGCCAGCTGCGGAAATCCCTTTGCGGGATTAAACAGGCGCGGAGGCTCTGGCAGCAGTAGGTGCACAACATTCAACTTGAAATTGGGTTCAAGCAGCTGCCTCACGACCCAGGGATGTACCGCCATGACTTCCGCGGCAAATACATCTTGCTCACGGTCTACGTCGACGACCTCCTTTACACAAGGTCAAGCACCGAGTTACTCAAGAAGTTCGAGAAAAATCTCGCGGGGCGCGTCGACATCACCTGCAACCACGACGTGAAGCAGTTCCTTGGCCTCAACATCACCTACTCGCCGGATGCCATTCATCTCTCAGCAGCCAAGTACGCAGAGGAACTTGGCAAGCGCTTCAACATTCCACTTGCACCGCTCTCCACCCCTTACCGCACCCCAAGACCCAACCATAAGCCTGACAACAAAGCCCTATCCCCAGCTGGGCTTCAGACTTACCACCAGCAACTGGGTTGCCTGTTTTTTTGCCTCTGTCACCTGTAGGCCAGATCTCTCGTACATCGCAAGTCAGCTGGCTCAGTATTCACGCAAACCAGCGGCTGAGAACCTCACAGATCTTCAGCGAGCAGTCCAATTCTTCATCTCCACGCCCAATGTTGGGCTCTGCTACTCCACCATCCCAACCGCATCCTTCAACCTCATCAGCTACGTGGACGCTGATCATGCCGCCGATCCTGATAATCGACGGTCCAGGACAAGCTTCCTCTTCCGCCTCGAGCCTAGCGGCCCCATCTCGTGGAATTCACAAAAACAGGAGCTGGTTGCCCTGTCATCGGCAGAAGCGGAGTTCATCGCAACGACAGCAGCTGTTCGCGAAGGTCTCTACCTTCAGGAAATGCTGCAAGAGGCAAAAAATCCGGCCTCCGCAAACCTTCGCCTGCACTGCGAGAACCAGAGCGCAATCAGAATCGCGAACAAACCTGGTTTCGTCAACCACACCAAGCACATCGCGCTGCGGTACTTCTTCGTCAAGGACGAAGTTGACAAGGGCAAGGTTAACCTAACCTACTGCCCGACGGGTGACATGGTAGCATACTTCCTCACGAAGAAACTGCCGCGTCAGCAGTACCAGCACTGTTCCGAACTCAGCGGAGTAGTCAAGCGGGTCAAGACCTGCTACGGCCACGAGTGAAGGGGGGTGTTACGAGTAGTAATTATTGAAACATCATTGTGCACTCTTCACCGCAGCAAGCGAAGCACCCATTACCGAGGTTGAAGTCGAAAGGGCGGAAGCGATGCGAAGGGTCGTACAATTACAAAAGCATCTAGACCGTCGGGCAGGCAGCATCAAGCAGCAGCAGTGGCGAGGATTCTGCCCAAACATTTTCGTAACCATCTGGAGTCGCACGGTTGAGTTTCGCTATAGTAAGGGAATGTACCCCTTGGAGTACATTGCTAACTAGGTCGATTGGTATTCCCCTGTATTCTTATTTATAGTGTTGTACTTGCATGTTTTTATTGTCTCAAGCATTTACATTCACTCTGCTATTGAGGTCAAGGGCCCACCACCACTAAATCAGTAGTGTGCGAACCTTCCTGAGATGATCGTGGCTACAATCAACTTCTGATCGCAACACTATGTTCACCCATGGCCGTAGATTGGCGGTTTTTACGTGAATATGTGGCCCTAGATTGGTGGGGAGGTAGTAGTGGACGACATGTCTATGGCCCTACCACCACCCCTTTCACGTGGACGACACGACACACGACATAGCTGCTCACTGAACTGAGACAAGCCGGGTTCTACGTTCACCCGTGGCCGTAGATGAGGCTTGTCACCCAACCTTGGCCGTAGATGGGCGCTCTAGTAGTGGATGGAGCATTAGCGGATAGGGCGATTGCGGGTTGAAGGTATACTGGTACAGTGTAAGGGGGTGAGTGGTGCATTAGTTGGGCACTAGAGGATGAGGCACTTCTGTCTAGGCTTGGGTGTATATAGTACGAATGCATGGGTGTAAGATTTTTGGCATACCGGTACATAAATTATCTAAACCTTCCTACCATGTAGATTTGGTTTTTCTCAAGATACATTCTTGTTCCTATCATACAGATGCACACTTCACAAATAGTTGAACCCAACTGGATCATGAAGTGCTTACAAACGGACATCCTAGAGATTGTCTTGTTGTGAGCAAAACAAGCATTGAGAAAGCAACATTCCCCAAGAATTCAATCTCACACACCCCTAACAGCCACTCCTGCACGAAGCAACTCCTTCCGAGCCCTGTCAGAAACCTTACTCACCTCCACCTTCAAATACCGCAGCCTTGGCACATTCCCCAACAACCCTCCAATGCCGCCTGCAGTGATTCCACCGCACTCCACCACAGTCAACCGAGTCAGCAACTCCGATTTACTCTGTGCTATGATGGCATCTGAGAACCCGTCACTGCCTTCCACCCGCAGGTCCTCCAGCATGCCGCATGCACTGAGCAGCCTCACCAGCTGCCCCTCCCCCACCCCATAGGAGTTCACGAGCGCCAAGCTCTTGAGCCTTGCAAACACAGCAGCTCGTGCCAGGGATTTGAAGGAATGTGGCTCGCTACTCGGATTTCTTGGGACAGGATAGGGGGAGGAGGATGAATGAAGGGAAGGGAGGGGTGTGATGGGGGGAGAGGGGCACATGCGAGGTGAGGCAGAGGGGAAGGGATAAGACAACTAGGAAGGGTCACGAGTGGAAGCGAAGTGAATGCTCTTAAGGGTCAGATATTCCAGTGGAGGGCAGTACACCTCCACAGGAGTCGCGAGAGTGCTCATATTTCCAAGTGAGCTCCCATTTGGGAGTGTGTTCCCATTCAGGGGTGTGCTCTCCTTTGGGAGTGTGTGAGTTGGGTTTCTGCCGCCCAGTTGCTCGTCGTCTACCCGACCTCCTCCTGCCTCTGCCCCTGGCAGCTGCTCTGATGTTCTTGCTCTTCTCAAACCCTCTCCCACCATCCCGCCTGCTTCCTTTTTTGCGGCAGTTGCCCATTCTGATGCTGCCCCTTCTGCTGCTGCCCCTTGTGCTGCCGACCCATCTCCTGCTGCCTTTTCTGTCATTGCACCTTTTGCTGCTGCCCTTGGTGCCACTTCCCCTGGCACCACTGCCTCAGGCAGTAGTGGCAGAGCGGGCTCGAAGGCATCACCCATGGCCTCCATGTGCGTCACCAGCTGCTCCGTTAGAGCATGCAGTAGCGCCCGCGCCTCTGCTCGCAACACCGCCACAAACGCCGGCCAAATACCCGTCTGCTCCCCCAGAGCGTCTCACTCACCTCCGCCAGATCAGCTGGCAGCTTGCTCTCAGGGACGAACCCCACCAGCTCTTCCACCTCCGTCCCTCCTCCTCCACCCCGCCCCTCCCTCTCCCGTTCTGCCTCCTCTCTCTCGTGGTCCAATGCTGCAGTGAAGAACCCAGCAGACTCAGCAGTGGAGCAGACCTTTGCCATTGCCTTGTCACGTACAACCCTGCCGTCCAGGTGGACCATAGCAAGCCACATGCACCGGCACAGAGACATGGCCGCCCGCACCTCAATGACCGCATGCCGGATGCTCGCGAGGGCCAACTCCCCGTGCGTGTGGAGAGTCTGCAGGGCTTCCTCAGCTGCTTTCCTCAGCTTCCACTGACCTGTCGTCAGCACGGACTTTGACTCGTCAATTGCGGCGACGGAGTCAGAGCATGCTGCTGCTGCTTCCGTACAGATATCCAGGTAGTACCGCCGGTTCCTTTTGCCCCTCATCCCCTCTTGGGTGGCTATCGGCGTGGCTCCTTCAGCTGTTGTTTCTTCTGGTGTTTCTGCTGCTGCTGCTGGTGCCGCATCGGACACATCTGTTCCTCCTCCCCCTCTGTCCTCCCCTTCCCGACTCTCCGCTCCAACGACCCCCTGCTGCTCCACGCACACCAGCATGGCCACCCGGCACTCTAAAGACGGCTTCTGCGGCGACTTAGAAGGCGATATACTCTCTCTGGCCTCCCCTTTTCCTTTCAGCGTGAGATGCTTCAAGCTGCCGCAGCGTGCAAGCATGCCGGGGCGTTACGAGGGCAGCTCCGAAAGAGAGAAGGTGTGCAGGCGGGAGGAGGAATAACGGAGCAGATTCTGATGCCCTTGCGCTGCGAACAGGGGGTAGGAGGTGGAGTGGAGGGAGAGGGAGGAGAGAGCAGGGTTGGTTTCAGCCAAGGCGGCGAGGGAATGACTGGAGACTAAGGGACAGTCGTGGATGGCGAGGTGGGTGAGACTATGGAGGGAGTGAGAGAGAGCATGCAGCTCACAGGGATCGATGCTGCAGGAGTGGAAGGCGAGGGAGGCGAGGTTGGGGAGCGAGGCGAGGGGCGTGAGTGCGGCTTCGAGGCGAGGCGAGTGGATGGTGAGGGAGGAAAGGGAAAGGTGGAGAGGGGAGGAGGAGGAGAGGGAGAAGAGGCCGAAGGCATCGGGGCGCCAGAGTGTGAGGGAGGTAAGGGTGTTGTAAATCCATATTTTATACAACATGCATAGGCTAGACTTAGATGTGTAGCACTCTTATAAATTGAGGGGTTGTTTAGTGTACCCTCCAACACATATTTGTGGTTGCTTGGGCCACAAACAAGCTCACCCATTGGCCAACTTATTGGCCAATAGGGTAAGCTCCCCTCTCATCTCTCCTTTGCTCATTGCTTGTACTAAAGAGCCTTTTGGCTCATTGTTTAGTGTATCAATTTTTCTCTCACATGGTATTCAAAGCTCATGGCTCACACCCTACCAAGATCCTTAGAACCGTCCTAACATGTACCTCTCCTCCTACCGTCCAATCCTGGCCTCCCTCGCAGTGTTTCCTTAAGCGCTACCTGTCAAATGTCATATTTGCTACAGTTTGTTTAGGCTGTAGTGGGGTAGTTACTATGGGGTACAGTAAGTTTAGGGTTTCCTACTTGTACCCGACTCTTTCCTAGTTCAATCACCCTTGTTGATTCTGACATGGTATCACGAGCCTAGGTTGCCACCTAGGACCGCTTACTACTACGGGCCCATTATTCCGCTAGAAGCGCCCTCTTCGCCCTACCTTACGTGCGCCCTCGTGCGCCTTTCTCTGCTCGTGCGCCCTCGTGCGCCTTTTTTCTGCTAGTGCGCCCTCGCGCACCTCGCCCTTCGTTCTGCTCGAGCGCCGTCCTGCAGCCCTCGCGCTGGCTGCTGCTGCCCTAGGCCAGTGCGCCGCCCCTGCAGGCTAGTAAGGCCATCGAGCCGCCCCTGCAGGCCCGTCAGGCCCCCGAGCCGCCTCTGCAGGCCCGTCAAGCCCCTGAGCCGCCCCCGCAGGCCCTCGCCGCCCGCGCGCAGCCTTTGCCTGACCGCGCGCCGCACCTGCAGGCCCTCACCGCCCGCACGCAGCCTCTGCAAGCCCGTCAGGCCAGCACGTGACCCCGTCAGGTCGCTGTCGCGGTCCCGTCAGGCCGTAGTCGCGGCCTCGCCTTGTCGCTGACGCGGCCCCACCCTGCAGCGGTCGCGGCCCCGCCTTGCCGCCGACGCGGACGCGGCCCCGCCGTGCCGTGACGCGGCCCCGCCAGCCCTGCAGCTGACGCGGCCGCGCCCTTCTGGTGACGCGGCCGTGCCCTTCTACTGACGCGGCCGCGCCCTGCTACTGACGCGGCCACGCCCAGCTGCTGACGCGTCGTTGCCCCCTGCCCGCCGCGTCACCCTGCCCGCCGCGTCGCCCTGCCCGCCGCATCGCACTGCCCGCCGCGTCGGCCCCTGCCCGCCGCGTCGCCCTGCCCGCCGCGTCGCCCCTGCCCGCGGCGTCGCCCCTGCCCGCCGTGTCGCCCTGCCCTACCCCGCGCCTGGCCCCTGGAGCAGGCGCCCCTGGAGCAGCCGCCACTGCAGCAGCCGCCCCTGACCTTGGAGAAGCCGCACCTGCAGCCTCCCCTGGCCCCTGGAGCGGCCGCCCCTGCAGCAGCCGCCCCTTGCCACTGGAGCAGCCGCCACTGCAGGAGCCTCCCCTGGCCTCTGGAGCAGCCGCCCCTGGAGCAGCCGCCACTGCATCAGCCGCCCCTGGCCCCTGGAGCAGCCGCCCCTGTAGCAGCTGCCGTCGCAGCCCGGTCCTGCCCTGCAGCAACTGCCGCGGAGCTCCCTGCCGCGGTCGCGGCCCCCCCCCTGCCGCTGTAGCGGCCCCGCAGTCGCCTCCGTCGTGCGCCTGCCCTTCCCACCACTGGAAAGCACTGCCCTGCCCGTGCTGCTACTGCTTTTACTGCTGCTGCTACTGCTACTGCTGCTCCTACTGCTACTGCTTCTACTGCTGCTCCTGGAGTGGCCAGATGCAGCTCTAGGGCTGTCTGCGTGTGTCCCTCACGCCCCAGCAGCTTCGTGAGTGGTACATCAGTTGGGGTTGTCGGTGTGGTAGTAGTGGGAGTCGTCCTGGAGTGGGTAGTTCGGGAGTTTCTTGTAGTGGCCCGGTGCAGCACCAGCGTCGTCTGCGCGAGACTCGTTCGCCCTAGCAGCTTCGTGAGTGGTACGCTCAGAGTAGAGGGTCGTTGAGTACTGCTCGCTGCCCGTACGTTGCTAGCATGGGTGTCTGGACTGGTCAGCCTTGCGGGATGCCTGGTCACACAGAGTCTCGCTGCTTTGCCAGTCTGAGCGACGCTTGGCGTACACAGTTTGGCGACAATGCTGAGCTCCTCGACTGGGTGGAGCTGCTTAGGCAGAGGGTAGATATCTTTGCTCTTGACTATGATGCTATTCTCACTGCAATATATGCATTGTCTACTAGTGCCAAGGGAGCTTGTCACCTGTGTGTGCCGCCTGACCCCGGTAACCAGTCTGCTACTCCAGGTGCAGGTGAGGCTGCTGCTCTAAGCGCTTGTGAGTCTGTTGCTTCAGGTGCTTGTGAGTCTGCGCCTTCAGGTACTACGTCTACTAAGGCACTGCACACCTTCACACTGGACCCAGGTGCTTCCCGCTGTTTCTTTTATGACTGCACTGCCCTAGAGCAGCTCCCTAGACTGGTTGCTATCTCCCTGGCTGACCCCTCCGGGGGTCCGGTCCTTGCGACCTCCACCACTGCCCTCCCTTGTCCTGCTGTCCCGTCCGGCACCCTGTCGGACCTTTACCTACCCTCGTTCTCTACGAACTTGGTGGCGAGTTTTGCGCTCCAGGACGCGGGTGTTCACCAGTTCACCCCTGCCTACGAGCGTGTGACAAACTGCACGTGTGCCGAGACGGGTCGTCACCTAGCTACCTTCACTTGGCAGCCGTGGTTGGACTTGTACACACAGACCACTGAGTCCCCTCGGGTAGCGGCGTCTGCGTCTGCGTCAGGTCAGTTGTCCGCCCCCTGCTCGTGTCGCACCCTGTCGCACCAGACCACTCCTCACTCCTCCTCGTTCCCCCCCACAGAGGCTCCCCTGCAGACTCTCCACCTAGACGTGTGGGGCCCAGCCCGCGTCCGTGGACAGGGCCACGAGCGGTACTTCCTGCTGGTCGTCGACGACTACATGCGCTACACCACGGTCTTCCCCTTGCGCACCAAGGGTGAGGTCCCTGATGTTTTGATCCCTAGGATCCGCGCTGCTCGTCTCCAGCTCCGCGAGCGGTTCCATTCGGACTTTCCTGTCCCGCGTCTGCACTCTGACAGGGGTGGTGAGTTTTCCTCCGACCTCTTGGTAGCCTACTGTGCGGAGCACGGCATCCGCCAGACGTTCACAGTTCCGGCCTCTCCATAGCAGAATGGGGTTGCTGAGCGCCGCATTGGCTTAGTCATGGAGGTTGCTCGTACTTCCACGATCCATGCGGCTGCCCCCCATTTCTTGTGGTCATTTGCAGTGCAGTACGTTGCGCATCAGCTCAACCTCTGGCCCCGTGTCTCTGCTCCGGAGACCTCGCCCACACTGCGTTGGACGGGGACGCGTTGGCGATGCGTGGGTGTTCCGGGTCCGGGGATGTTGAGCCTTTGTTCGCGATACGTCCGCGGACAAGCTCTCCTCCCGTGCCGTTCCCTGTGTCTTCCTTGGCTTTCTCCCTGACGCGCCTGGCAGGCAGTTTTACCACCCCACCTCGCGCCGTGTCTTGCCCTCTCAGGACGTCACGTTTGACGAGTCGGTCCCCTTTTACCGTCTCTTCCCCTACCGTACTACCCTGCTCCCCCCTCCGCCGCTCTTCCTCACGCCAGGTGCTGCTTCGGTAGACCCCCTCCCTCCCCAGGGTCCTGCTCCCTCAGGTGTTTCCCAGGTAGACCCGGTCGAGCCTGTTGAGGTAGCTGCCGACTCTGGTCCTGCGCGAGGTACTGCGTTTGGGGGTGCTGAGACTGGGGATGCTGAGTCTGGGGGTGCTGAGACTGGGGGTGCTGAGCCTAGGGGTGCTGAGACTGGGGGTGTTCAGCCAGAGGGTGCTGAGATTGGCGGTGCTGAGCCTGGGGGAGCTGAGACTGACCGTGCTGCGCCTGCTGGCGCTCCCTCTTCACAGCAGCTGCGTGAGTGGTGCTCTCAGCGTTGCAGCCTCCAGCATGGGGCTACTGGAGCTGGGGAATCTGCTGGAGTTGGAGCTGGTGGTGCTGCGGGTGCTGTGTCGCGGCCGAAGCCTCCCTCCCCACAGCGGCTGCGTGAGTGGTACGCTCGACGCTGCAGCCTCCGGAGCGGCGCTCCTAGCGCTGGGGTGCCACCCACTGGAGGCCCTGGTGCTGCTGGAGGTACTAGAGCCTCTCGTCCTGGAGGTGCTCGTCCAGGTGGTCCTGTAGCTGCTGGGACTGGGGGTTCGGCTAGAGCTGGAGCTGGAGCTGCTGGAGCTGGTGCTACTAGAGGTGCTGCTAGTGCTGGAGCTGCTGGAGGTGCTGCTGGTGCTGGAGCTGTTGGAGGTGCTGCTGATGCTAGAGTTGGAGCTGGAGGTGCTGGAGCTGCTGGAGCTGCCGGTGGAACTGAGGCCGCTGGGCCTGCTGGAGTTGGTGTAGCTGCTGACCCTGATGTTGGTGTTGCAGGGGCTGGAGCTGGGGGTGCTGATGCTCGTCCTTCTGCAGGTGCTGGAGCCAACGGTGCGGCTGGAGCTGGTGCTGCTGGGGGTACTGGAGTTGG